TGCCCGCTGAGGCAGTGGGGCGGGCCGGCACCGAGCAGGGCTTCTTACTCAGAGCGACTTATCTGTGAGGGAGCGAGAGGGAAGCCCTGCAGGAGCGTGGGCTATCCAGTGCTGTCTGGGATTTTCAGGCAATTGGTGCCTCTATAGAAAGGTTGTCTGTCTGCTGGCGGCACTTGCTGGTCACTGATATTAGGCCAGCTCTGTCACACACGGCTTTGCCACTGTTTGCATTTTTACACCGACTTTGTGTTCCAACTCCTATTTCCCACTAATTCCCTTCCCAGTGCTGAAGGTTGTTGTCCCTTTGGTCCAGTGTAGCTCTGTGCGCTTCTGCTTTAAACTGGGTTGCTAAACTAAAATCTCCTTTTTCCCCCCGTGATCTTGATTTCCCAAAAGAGGGAGGTGTATTTTTAACCTGGATAGGTTCAGTGATTTAGCTTACAAACTGGAAGGAAGCAAGGAAGGGAGATTGGGGTCAGGGAATGGGTAATTGTGCAAAGTCGTAAAAGTGATATAGCTGTCAAAGCCCTGCATTATTAATCTGTAACCAGAAAAATGATAAAGTGGTTATTATGACCAGAAAGATGGGTTATTGTTGCCTTTCTACATCAAGTAGTAATACTTCTTTCCAGAGAAAAGCCTGTGATGTTAACTTAAAATTATACCTTCATCTGTGGTTTTGCTGTCCTCAAATTAGGGACACGGGCCAACAGATCCGTAACTATGTTTAGTAGTGCTCGTTCTTGTTATCTCTGAAGTAAACTAGTGCTTTTGTTTGCTTGATAGGTGACTATGGAGAAAAAGCTATCCTGATTAGTGCCTGAAACCATAGTTGGAGGAAGGTTTTTGTGGATGTGAACGTTTTCTTAAGCAACATGTTTTGTTTCCCTCACTTAGGTCACTCCTTCCTATACTGGAAAAGCTTCCTCAGTTGTGTTAGTACAGTTGTTGTTGGAGCTGCAAAGCCAACTAGCTTGGGAAACTTGAGATAAGTCCTCTTGCTGCTTTGTTTTTTTTTCCCCAGGTTATTTTATTTGTCTTCAGTTTGTCAGTGTGGCTTATCTTGCAGTGCTTGAAGTAATTCTACCAGTCTTCAAACACAAACAGTTTCAGAGAGAAGGAAGACACTTCCCCAGAGAGAAATATCAATTAAATTCTGTTATTTATGTACGGGAGTAGATACAGACCTCTCCAACTCCATTTATTTCCTGTAAATGTAAGTTATTTGTACATAAATGCCACTGTGATTTCTTGAAAAATACATGGTTCTTTATTCTGCACAATATAAGCTTTCTTTATTTCTTAGAACCTCTTTTCTTTTGTAGAACAGCACAGCAACTGACAAATGTTATAGTAAATTAGCTCTAGGGCTCGTAATATTGCATACGTTAATAGCCTCATGATTCAAAGCACTGATCTGTTATAAATTTATTCCTTAAACAATATTGAGGGGAGAGCTTACTACCAGTGGACTTTATGCTGAATCAGGTATCATCTAGCTTCCTGCAGCTGACACAAAGCCAGAATAAAGCTTTTCTTTTGTGCTCTGAGTAATGTAACGAACACACTCATTGACCCAGCGTTTATTCTGTTCTGATTAATGGTCATCAAACAATAGCCTGAGAAATTACAAGCTTGGATACTATTACACTGGAATAAGGGTATGTTCCTTTTTCTGTTTTATTTTAAATCACAGCTTCAGCAGTTCTATTTAGAAGTAAACCCCAAGAGAGGAGAGAGTACTTTTTCTATGCTGCTTTTTATGATGAAAAAAATATGGTGAAGCAATTTGCTTATGGTATTAAAGTCTGACCCTTACATATCCCTTTGCTGCTTTTACTGTTTTTTGTTATCTCCTGCAGCAAGCCTGTTGTAATGTGCTAACAGCGTTCATTATTTCTTTTTCAACAAGGGGCAGATTCTGTCAGGTAACCGATCCCATTTCAACACCAAAAAAAAATCTATTAAAAAAAAGTGATAGTCTTCTGAGAAGAATAAGTTGCTGTAAATCCTGGCATAGCAGCTTTGCCAAAGTAAGCTGCTTTGTAATAATCAAGTGACAAAACATGGGCTGCTTCTTAAAAATAAATTTATTAGAAAAACTGGTAGTAATAGTAAAGACACACAAAATTCACTGACTGAAAACCCGAGGAGAACTGAAATATTGAAACATGTATACTTCATTAAAAGTACCTCTTTGTGCTGTTAACAAATTTCTAGCAAGCTGTAGAAACAGCTTTTTGACATCATATAAGAAAAGAAAGGTAACATAAAATTTGGTTAAGTTTCACCTAAATTTGTAAAACTTCCTCACATGTCCATGAAATGAGAAATGTCCTGTCGTAATGCACCTGACTGCACTCTTCTCATGTGGAGAGTAGTTTTGACAGGAATCTGAAGGGCAGGGGATACTCAGAGTGAGAGTCGTGCCTGTTCTTGCTGTTGAACACTGGCAAATGAGAAAACAAATGCAACTCCACCTTGCCCAGTTCTGCTGCATAAGGAAGGCAGTTTTAGATGTGGTTCGATATTAAGATTAAAAAAGGGAAATGACACATTCAAAGTATCTTAAACAGTAAGGCTTCCCTTCTGAGGTAGCTTGCTTTGTGTCTAATCAGACTGTATAAAAGTCAGTAGCAGAATTAACCAGTTGGTAGTTTCATTATTTTCCTCTCTTACTCTCTTGTGGACCATGAAACAGTTTTAAAATCATTAACTATTTTGATTGATAGGCATTGTAATTATGGGAAGCTAAAGACTGAGTGAGACCATCATACAACAACACGGCAAATCTGGCTGTAGGGCACTGGGTATTGGGCCAGCAGTGTCACTGCTATACGATGCAAAGTTCTGATACAACCTAGTTGCATTTTCCTGGTTCGGGTTTGCTTTTGAGAGGTTAATTTTGTATCAGGTTACGTGCCATCTGTTTGCACCCTTGCTGTTTTATGTTAGCTTTTTGTTGGATCTGTTATTATTGGCCCAAACCCAAACCGTACAAAGACAGCACAAAGGAAGACAGTGTATCTGCCTGCTCCTGATCAAACCTCTGCAGCTGGAGGGTTTTGTCCTTCAGAGATGGAGAACAATATTTATGGAACCAGAGTCCAAGGTCTCATCCAGCCTTTTGTTACAAGATGCCTTGATGGAATCAGCCCCATTTTTGCAAACTGTTCTGCGTGACACATGCCTACACCCACACATTGGTGTCACTGCCGTTCTGCCTGAGCGCAGGATCTGTCCGTACAACGTAACTCCTACTACTCTGGTTTTGGTTTCTGTGGTGCCTACAGTTTGGGCAGTGTATGAGGTGCTGTGTAAGAAGTGTGAGGAAAGATAAAGAGTAACGTTAACGTATTTTCGGGAACAAAATGCTGCTGTTAGTTGGCAATGTGCGTTGCCTGTGTTCGTTGTTTGCTGTGCAGGGAAGGGAACTTTATAACAGTAAGCAAATAACTTTGAGTAAGAGAATAGGGCCTCAATTCTACAAGTATTTAGTGTTGATTTAAATACCGCTATTCAAGTGTTTATATTTTATCCATGTGCATAAGCTTTCCTAGGACTTAGCACTGCAGTTACAATGTAGTTTTAAAAGCTGTGCAGTGAACAATAATTCTGGTATAATGTTTTTGCTTTTAAACTTACTAAGTGTCTTAGCACATGACTATGTTGAAACTCAGTTTAGAAAAAATATTTTGTATTTTACTCTGATCTTTAAAAGATTTATTTGAATCTGAAGATACTTGCAGTACAGCTGGTTTATCTTTGGCTTTCTTGGTCTCAGGTCTCCCAATTTCATAATGTGTATACTGCCGCTGTCTGCTTTCTTCTAGGTATATGAAAGAAAAACATGTTTTTATTCTCCAAAACGTACCTTGTCCCCACAATCCCCTTAAGCTGGGCATCTACTATAAACTTACATGGTTTTAATATCTCACAGCAATGGATTTGCTTCATTCCCTGACGCAAAGCCTTTTTTTATTTTCCTCCCTCTTTTGAGGGGGTGTTTGTTGCAGAACAGTTTTTGTGTCTCCTTTCATGACAGTTCTGATGCTGTTGCTGGAAGAGCATCCTCTGCTGCAGCATTTGCTGTGTGGAACATCTTTATGTTTGCCCTGTTTCAGATTTTGCAGACCAGTACTGGTTCTTTTCAGGATCATTTCCTCTTTTCATTGCTTATTTGTTCTTTCTCTTATTGTATTATTTATCTAAAGGAATTTTGGTGGCATAAAGTGTGTGAAGGCACTTTATGACCACAGTGGTTCTTTGTTTGGCAAAGGGCAAAAATAGGTTGATGGTAGAGTTTTATGGCTCTGGAAATCACAAATTTATTTTTCCAACAGGGGGAAAATATGGTAACCTACAGACTGTTCCTAATGGAAGAAAGAAAACTCTAACTACTCACAAATGCTTCTTGTCAGAATGAAATTCCTACAGCTACTGTCCAGGAAACCTGGGAAACTGGAACTGCTTTTTCAAATACCTTTTTCCCAGAAGCAATTCCCATATTTGCGTCTGGCTACCTCCACTTGTCTTCATAGTAAGAAGAAAAAACTAAACAGTTATGAACAAGTTGACCAAGAAAAATACAAGAACTTGGTCTACTCTGTTACGTCGTATAAAACCAGTGCCCAAACACCAGAGACAATATTTGAGGAAGACAATTTCTTATATGGGCCACCAGATAAACACAGACCTCCAGCTAAAGCTGAAACAAAAACTCCCAAGAACTGGGTTCCTTTAATAAACCCCAACAAGAAAATTCCTCTTCTCAACAGTGATTCAGACCTCCCTAGGAAAATCTCTTTACAAAAAACGAAAATGCCCAGTGTTACCCGTATTCTTCAACAGACTATTTCTCCACAGCAAGCCTTTTATCTAGAAAGATGGAAGCAGAAAATGATACAGGAACTTGGAAAAGACGGTTTTGCAGAGTATACTAAAAGTAAGTTTAACAGCAGTGTGATTACAAAGTAGAAGCAGTACTCTGGAAAGCTGGAGGGGGTGTGCTGGCATAGCTGCAGTCTCTGGCCCTGGAAGCTGGGAGGGGGCTTCCAGCTCTGGGCCCGGGAGGTGGGGGGGGGGGGGGGGGAGTTGGAATCCGGGAAGTTGCTTCCATTTCAAGGGGCGAGAGCGTGTTAAGAGCACACCTGTTATCAAGGAATCTAAGCTCTGATCTGTGTTCTACGACCACTGAAACGGGTTCAGAAATGTGTGGTAAATGAGAATTAGACTGGAGGCATTCTTTGATCTGTGCAATCTGCCTCTCCTTTATTTCTCTATTTGCTACTATCTATTCACAAGCAGATATTTTCCAGCTGGTGTTATTGAGCCTGTTTGCAGATACAAAGCTACTTTGTAATGAGATGGAAGTAAGTGTATCATCTTGAGTGTTGAAAAAACTATATATCTTGCTGTTTATGTTGAAGTTCTTCACTAGCTATTTAGTTTATCCAGTATGTATAGCCTGTTCCATGAAATGGCCATGCATTTAGATGTTTTAATTTCATAAGACCCACAAAGGTGACTTCCACCAAGCTGTAGGACTGCAGGGGATCTGGGAGGACCTGGGGGATGGTAAATAGCCTCTTGTAGCGAGGTTGATAAATACCCAAGTGCTCCTTACATGAATTATTACGCTTTTTAAAACCAAATATCCTTTGTTTATGCTTTTTGAGTTACTAAGCACTTCAGTGAATAAGGTGGCATAACAAACCTTACATAGCTATTTAAAATTTCTCTTTCTTGTAATAATTTCTGAGATAGGCCCTTACTCCTAGAACTATGCCCATCCATTTCCGGAGGAGATTCATTCCAATCAAATGAACCTGCACAGCAGAAGAGGCAAATGCAGCAAATGCAGCCTAGAATAATATTTTTAATTCATAGAAATTCATAAATGCCTTTGAATAAACAATAAATTAAAAATCATATTCTGTTTCTGAGTAATTAGTGAGACCAGAAAAGTAAAGTAAGCATTGATGTAAGAGATACTAATTTGACTGTTGATGCTTGTTTCTCTGTCCCATTCCTTTCTTTTCCCCACATCTTCAAGCTTTTGTTACAAAAAAAAAGGCTGGTTTAAGAGCTATGTTTTATAATATCTAGTACACAAATCCATCAGTTATTATTAGTAGTATCTAAAATGTGTGGGGGTTTGTATCTTCCTTAGATCTTTTCCTCCAAGGAGAGCTCTTTCATGCAGCTTTGGAATCTATATTCCTGTCTGAAGAGATGGCGACTAAGGAGCAGGGAGAAGATGCTACTGTTTCTGGCTACCTATCAAGTGTGCAACATGTCTTGAAAGATATCAGTGAAGTGAAAGCTCTGGAAAGCGCCGTTCAGCATGAGACTCTTCAGTATCTGGGCGTGGTAGACTGCGTGGCTAAGTATCGGTGAGGTACTGGTTCTCTAAGAAACCTGCGAATGGCCGCGTGGCGTGGTGCTTCATGGGGCGTGCGAGGCTCTGTCCCCGGTTGGAGCAGGTGTGTTGGTGAGCTGTTGGGGGGAGGCTGGACAGATCTGTAAGAGCAGCAAAATGGGTGAACTCAGAGGTGAACCCGATGACAGAAATGCTGTTGTTCCTTGTGGAGGATTCCTTATTGGAGCAGGGTGTGAGCAGGGCAGGGTTAAGTGATCCTCAGCCACTGGAAGGAATTGCAGCGCGTATTAGTAAGTCTTGATTTTTGACATGTGAACTGCCACCGTGGAAGAGGCTTGCTTAGATGTAATAACGAGCAACACGACATCAGGATGAAACAGGCTGAGAGTGGTGCACCTTTCTTTGCTGTCTCATCCCTTATTTCTTACTTAAAATCAGAATCAGAATAATTTTGGTTGGAAAGGACCCTTAAGATCTTATGACTACACTTAAGTTTAAAACATTGTCCTATCTTGTTCTCTTATGCAGAGGCCAGTTGTGTGTGATTGACTGGAAAACTTCAGAGAAACCAAAGCCGTCTCTGAAGAATACTTTTGACAACCCATTGCAGGTTGCAGCATATATTGGAGCCCTCAATCATGACGCCAATTATGACTTCCAGGTCAGTAGGCCTGCCGCCTGCCAGCACAAGCAGCAGCGCCCACGTTACTTTCATTTTTTCCTGCCTTTAGCACCTGCTGTCCCTCATGGAACTGTCGGTAGGATTTGTAACAAAGCAGACCAGTTTTAGATCAGGTTAAGCTGCCGTACTGTGAAATAATTCCACTGCTCTTGCTAAATCCTGCTGCCTTTGCCTGTCAGCACTCTGTTTCCTTTGGTTTTAAGGAACCTCCTGCTTGGTGGGACCAAGGGATGCTCAGCGTCTTAGGAGGTCAGATGTACTCACAATGACCTGGCATCTGGGCAAGCCCCAGTGCTCTGTTCTGTGTGATTTTTGCTTGTGTCAAGAATAGGAAGGGGGAAGAGAGGAAGTAAAGCAAAAGAGCCTGCAAACAGGGCAGTGGGGTGGGAGGGCATTGCTCGCATCAGGTGTTGCAATATCCCGCTAGTGAACAAGGGGCTAAGTGATTTACTCAGAGCATGGGGAAACTGTACGGGTTTCCTCAGAAGAAAGCAGTGTGTTGTCAATCACGTAATCAGAAGACAGTGGAACAGTGTTTTTAAAGACACAATTCTAGCCAGGCCTGCTTGGCCTGAAGGATTGTTATTTCAATACAAAGCATTGAAAGGGGAAAATACAAAGCAGAGGAGAGCAGGGCAATTCATAGGTCCTTGAGAGGACTTGCTAGAATACAGAGATCCACAAACACAAGCAATTAGTGGACATGGTACTTAGAGAGTGAAACATAGGCAGTAGTTCTAGAATTCGGCCATTAGTCATCTGTCCCCCCCTACTTTCTCTTCACCCCAGTTGCTGTGTGGGGTTTGGAATGGAGCTGTCTGTCAAGTATGAAAGATGTTGTGGCACACCTAAGTAACCATTTTAAGTAACATACCCAAGTACCCAGCCATTCTCCAGCATCAGCCCGGTTCTGTGACCACAGGCAAAACCTCCTGGGTCACTGGGAATTTTCTGACCATCTGCAAGGTTTGAATAGACCCTATCAACTCAGAGTTTGAGTCCTCCAGTTTTCACCAAAGTCAGTCAGAGCTTTGAATTCTCAGCGTTTGAACGTTAGTCTCCAATTATTTAATGGCAAATTATTTCTCTTTTTGTGTCCCATTTCTTATTGAAGGCACTTAAGGATTATGTTTTGCAGTGAGGTTTAGTGTTCAGAATTGCTGATTAAAGTTGCATATTAACATTGAATTTCTGACAGCCTTCTGTTTTTAACTGCAGGTTAGCTGTGGACTCATTGTGATTGCCTATAAGAATGGCTTCCCTGCACATCCACATTTCATGGATCCAGATCTGTGTTCACAGTACTGGAATAAGTGGCTTTTGCGCCTTGAAGAGTACCTGGGCAGAAACTGACCCAGACTAAGCTCTGCAGAAGCAAGTGGTTTGAGCACAGAACCAAAGCAAGAATCCTTTGTTTAAATCTTCCATTTGAATACATATTCTTTTTTTTTCTTTTAGTAACTTTGGCTAATTTCTTGATATCAAGGTTTTTTCCTCCCCCTCAGAAAAAAAAAAGAAAGAAAAATTGGAATGGGGAATGTGTATTTGCTTACATTGTGGGTGACTTAAGTGGACCTGGCCAGACAAAGTAAACTGAACTAATCTCTGTTTTTCCCCGACCTGAGGTTGGTAGGAAAGTTTCTATTCTCAAGTAAAACTGTTCAATCAAAGAATCTTTCTTTTGTAATTTTTGAGGAAAAAAAAAAAAACTGTTGCAGAACTGAGACTTTGAAAATGAAGTTGTTAAAGCAAAACAAAACAACATCTGCATTGTCTGAGCTGAGAGAAATGTAACCGATAAATGAATATAGTAGACTGGGTTTCAGTCAGCTTAGTTCTTGCTCATCTCAAAGGTATCTGTTAACAGGCTTGTTACTATTTGTGGTTTTTCTTATAGCAAATGCAACTGTCTTGAGCTCTTCTGACTTTGCTGTGGGTCGGAGCCGACAAGGAGCCTCCCTGTGTGGAATAATCTCCAGTGTGAGGTCGTAGCGTTTGCCAGTGCAAGTTTCTTGATAAAAATAGGCTTGTGACTTTGAAGCCAGGCGTTCTGAGAAACTAAGAGCTGCTAATTGGGTTTGGGGGATTTGGTTTTGCCTGGTTTTTTCTTTCCAAATAAGTTTGTGAATAAGTGTTCTAAAACAGAAGTCACTTTTGTAACTCATTTCATAAAATGAAGTCTATAAGAGACAGAATAAGCATTGGTGAAGTCAGGTGGTGTTTGGCACACCTGGAAAGCTTTTTTTCCTCATTCTTTTTGTTTTCTATGCATTGTATGTGTGAGTTTTTGTAATACCACTGCAGATTACAAATAAAAATACAAGCAACCCATAAGCTTCAAGAAAATCAGCCAGAACCACACCTGAAAAAACCAGCAGGCAGTCTTTCTGCTAAAGAAACTTCAATCTCTATAGTGCTTGATCTTCTGCTCCTCCAGAGTACTGAGCTGTGGAAAACTGCAATTAAACTTAGTTATAGTGGTACTTGCTTATTCAAACCTGGTCTGGTGATGTTGTGATTACTCTGTGCTTAATCAGATTTCTATCTAAAAAGACAAGCCGTGGAGACTGAGAAACGGAGTTCAGAGATTACTAACCACGATGATGCTGTGTGAGTGCTCAGAAGTTCTACCTGTCTTACAAGTATCTTTCCACATCACAGAATTTTAGTAGGTGGGTGGTTCAGTGTCACAGAACACAATTTTCTGTGAAAGATAGCTCCATGGACACAAAGAGGGTGGGCATAAGCAAGAGGCAGGATGCCCTGGGCAGAAGAAGGAGGTGATAAAACGTGTGGAATTCCCTGTGTTGATTGTCACTGGATACAGTGAGAGAGTTGGGCAATGTTTGGGTGGGATTGCTGCCTTCATCAGTGCATCATACAGCCATCAGATGCCTCTGAACCACCTAAGAGTTCAGCTTCATCCTGCCTCCTAGTAAATGAGGAGTCTGGAGCCTGGGCAGCACAGGCGCCTGCTGGCTTCACCTGCGTTCATTTGTTTAACAAAAGCCTTGTGTCTGAGGGAGGCTGCTGGCTTCTCTTCACCTGCCTTTCAGTCTCCACTGAGTCTGTGCCATCAGAGAGCCAGGAGAAGGCAGGCAGCCTTCAAAGGCGGTAGCAGTGGAAGTTACTGGTGTCTAGCACTTCTGAAAGTCTGGCTGCCTCCGGCATCCCGGCGTGAGCTCTGTAACATTTCTGTAGAGGCGCAAGCTAGTGCCAGTTTTGTCCCAGAACGGAAACGGCAGCCGGACTTGCCAATGTAATGCAAACTCAGACCCCCTTTGTGACCGGTTTAAACGTGGTTCCCAGACGGTTAAATTGACTTGCCCAAGGCATCTGCTACAGGGCGTATCTGTCTTGTGCAGAAAATCCAGCCGGACAATCAGGGCAGTTACCCCAGCTG